TGTGTGAGTGTGTGTGTGTATGTGTGTTTGCGCGCGCGCGCGCGCGCGCGCGCGTGTGTGTGTGTATGTGTGTGTGTGTGTGTGTGTGTGTGTGTGTGTGTGTGTGTGTGCGCGTGTGTGAGTCCATGCGCGTGGAAAGGTGGGCTAATGTCAGTACTGTAGCTTACGAAAATTCCTGCAACTTTGGAAAGAATTACACAGAAACGATTGAAAACATTGGTGGGATAACTGAGCTTGGAAGTCGCTTGAATGTGTATTTCTTTGTGAGCAACATGACATGATTAATTTACTTTTGTTTTTCTCAATAGTTACTTACATTTTATGACTTAACTACGGCCTTGCCTCTTCTGAGACAAGCAGGCTTTGAGCCACCATTTCCCTCACTGCCTTCCCCTTCCCCCACCCCTTCCCCCACCCCTTCGTTCCGCCCGCCTTCATATAGACAGGCACATTCTTAAAAGTCTATCCTGGTTTTCTGATGTCATTTTCCTTTCAAAACTATTGTAAGTTCTTATGTTGTTGTTTTTTAAAACTGCTGCTGTGTGAAAATATATAAGGATAGAAGATCACAGGTTGACAAAGAACATATAAAATATGCAGATGACCGGCACAATTTTGCAACGAAAAACCAAGCTGATCAGGAAGACAGACAACAGGAAGGAATGGGGAACCATGATCGTCAGTGTCTTCTCCAGACTAGACACTGGATTATCTTTGTTTCAGTAATTCCGAAAAGATACAGTATGCAAAATAAAATGAATAAAAAAGAATAGAATACTACTTATGCTGGTTGTGTTGAGAAGCTTAGGTTACGATAACTAGGTTAGTGTATTGTGTTCAGAGATTTTATCAGGGGATACATTAAGATCACATAATGCACAAAATAATGCAGACAATTTTGTGGGTGGGTGGGTGGGTGGAGGACGTCTCTGGTTGGTCCTACTTCTTTTCTTCCACCTAGTCAATCTGCATGTCTCTCTCTTTACCAATAATACAATGACTGTTATCGTGTCGACGACCTTCTCTTTACCCAAAACAAACTATTTCACAAACACTTCATCATTGCACGGTGGCAGATTAATTGTTTCCCAGGTGTCGAATAAACTTTGAGTAGAATCTGAATTAGTTCATTTGTGATGGGGTTAAGCCTATGTTTAAGCCTATGTCGTGTTCTTTCGATCGATGATCGGCCCATAAAGGTTTTTAAAACAGTACCTCTTCATTGATCTGCAGGTAAGGTTGCCCACACATGGCCATGGGGGAGGGGGAGGGGAAGGAGGATGAGAGGGGGGGAGAGGTCGGCAAGACATGCTCAACACACAGCAGTCGGACTCGGAGATGTGCTGTGAGGATGAGCAGGTACATGCTGGTGTGGGTAAGTGCTGGGGAAGTTATGTCTTTATGATTCATCCCCGTTCTAGCCTTACTTTCGTTTGTTTTATAGTTGACTCCACGACTTGTGCTAAATTTGTTTGAGCTGATTTTTGGTTAAGTTGATCTTTGTCCCTGGTCCAAGCACCTGTTGTTTTTTACAGATCCCAACGGTAAAGTTGACCTTCGGATGAGTGGATATCTTTTTTATTCCCCTGACGACAATAACTCATTCGTAGTCGACTGTACTTGTCAATGAAGTTCATCGTAAAACGTCTACAGCTTGTCAAAGGGTGATGAATGGTCGTTTAGATTATGCTAAAATTATGTTCCCTTTTACTTTTGTAGCACCTGAGTATGGAGGATATAGCTTGCGTATGATAAAGAAGTGGAAACTCCTAAAATAACTGAAGTTATGAATGTTCCATTTTGGGAATATGAACAAAGGTTGCTTGCCCAGCAAACAGAACAGACAGAATATATAACTGAAGGTGGTCAGGGGAAAAACACAGCTAACTCACATTAATCCAACCACGACTTTACCTATTGTTTTTATCATGATAAACTTGGTTAGATCTACTTTTATAGAAATATAGTTTGTAAATATCTTGCTTGGTATAATTTTACTTGGTATATTTCATAGGCGTAATCTGCATGTACTTTTGCTGGTTATGGGCTAATATCCTGATTGTTTTCTTGAAATGGACGTGTCCAGTCTTTCCCTTGTTCCTTTCATTTGTCAGAAAGGAAACTAATTCTAACCGTGCTGCTTTCGACGTGCCATCATTAATAAGTATAATCACATCAAGATTGAGAAAACCCGAAGAGTCCACAAGTCTGAGAAAATCTGGGTCAAAGGAAAACGAGAAGCTAGAGTCCCTGTATATATAATCTCAAACAACGATGGCCAAGTCATTACATTTTTATACGAAACGTCTATACCGCTATTCTAGCACTGCAAAAAGGTTTTACGGATACATTGTATTCCTTCCCCTTGATTTTCTCAGACATTGGTACCACCTCGGCCACGCAGACAGACTCGCTTTGGTCTGGGGCACCGGCACTTCCGCATCCTGGGCCTGGCCCTACTGATTATGCTGGGACTGGCCCTGGTCAACTCTCAATTCACAGGTAAAAGGCTTAGGTTTAGTAGAGGTTTTACGGCGCTCGCAACTGCATATGGTCATATGAGCGCCAGTCCTCTGATTCACAGTGAGGAAATTTTTGTGTGTGTGCTTTTCTACAAATGAGTTTTACTCTCTTCTTTACAACTACCTATGTTCTTTTACTTTTTCTGTCCTCATGTGCCGCAAAGTGTCGAAGGGAGATCGCGCTTGTTGGACGTAGACAGATGTGTTGCTTTTTGGATTGTCATCTTGTTCTTTTGAAGGATCTTTTTGATCCCTTCGATTCATCTTTTGCGTCGTCTTCCTTTCTCCTTGAAGCCATCGAATCTTATATTGTATACCTTTGAGACTAACTTTGTGGCCCCATTCTCTCTAGATCTAGACATAATGCTACAAATGATACACACACACACACACACACACACACACACACACACACACACACACACACACACACAGAGAGAGAGAGAGAGAGAGAGAGAGAGAGAGAGAGAGAGAGAGAGAGAGAGAGAGAGAGAGAGAGAGAGAGAGAGAGAGAGGGAGAGAGAGAAAGAGAGAGAGACAGAGAGACCTCTTGTTTGTCGGTCAGAAAACTTTTTATGATTATCCCGTCGGCCTCTCTGGGTTGTACGGCTGTAGAGTTGTAGCTTAGATGTCCAGTTATGATAACGTTTAGTTAAAACGAGGAATAGATAAGGACTAGAGTGAATCTTGGAAGGAGTAGAAGCATGAGGAGCAGACACACCGTTGCCCACATTGATCACGGGTTGGGATTTAGCGGGACTTCTTAATCGTAAGTTCAAGAAAAGAAGATAGTAGTAGATTGGGCACACTCTTCGTCTTAGTCTAGGAAGCCAGCTCACAATGTGACGCGGCAAAGTATAAGATGGAATCATAAAGAGAAGAGGAAAAGAGGCAGACCGAGATCGACGAGGAACGAGATCTGAAGGCAGATCTCAGACAGATGGAGTATAGCTGGGTTGAGGAAGAGAGGATCACCCAGATACGAGAAAGGTGGGGAGACCTTTTTGACGGCCCATACCCAGTATCAGGGTGAAAAAGCACACCCACACACACACACCCACCCACTCACCTATACACACACACACACACACACACACACACACACACACACACACACACACACACACGCACACACACACACACACACAGAGAGAGAGAGAGAGAGAGAGAGAGAGAGAGAGAGAGAGAGAGAGAGAGAGAGAGGGAGAGAGAGAAAGAGAGAGAGAGACAGAGAGACCGACAGACAGACAGACTGACAGAGAGGGAGAGGTGGAGAGAGAGGGAGGGGGTAAAAAGACGGGCTTTACGTTTAAGGTATTAATTTTGAGGGAGGTTTTTGCCAGCACCTGAAAAGGGAAGACTCAAACAGCATGATCTGTACAGATACAGCTCATTATTCACTAAAGACAGTTTTTGCATTTCTTCATATGTCGACTGTCAGATTAAGATTACATGTGAATATATATATATATATATATATATATATATATATATATATATATATATATATATATATATATATATATATATATATTTATATACAGAGGCGGCGGGTGGACTAAAATTTGGGTGGGGCATAGGTCGCCTTCACCTCTTTACCACCAAATAGCAAGCAATGCAATGAGAACAAAACAGTGATGGTTTTTCTATACTCACCGCGAGTCACAGCATTTTGAGAACCATTCAAACGAAAAGAGTCACCTTTGTCTTCCATCTCTTTGTTCGAAGTTAAATTCGTCTGGATGTGGAAGGTGGGGACGAAGCCGTTTCACCTCCAAATTTCTCTAATTAATTTTCACCTTATGAAAAATTTGCCTCAAAAGTGGTTTGATGTAATTAATAACTGTTAAATCTCATTGGTACACACACAAACATGTACACACAGAACTCCAAACATTATTATATCGTCTGTGAGTTGGACTGGGCCGTGCAGTCCTGGAATGTAGAACGCACCTAACAAAAGCCCAAGGAGACGAATGAGTGCATAGGTAACTGTCACTGGGGGAACGCGTGTCGTAAACTTTCCCCCCGTTGTCAGTGCTGGAAGAGCGTGAACCCTCTGTGCAATGTTATTTTTTATTTTTACTTCTACTTTTTTACAGGAGGGGTTTCATTAGGGAGGGGCTGTCGGAATGGGCTCGTCCTTTGCTGAGCCCTTAACACATTTGATTGGCTGTTAGGTTATTATAGTTGTAAGCGCTGACAACACTGATTGGATAAACCAGCAAGTCGCCAAGTTGATCACTCTGTGTACATTTCGTGCTATCATAACAGTTTCAACCCACCACCACTGTATATATATATATATATTTTAAAAAAATAATTTTTTTTAAATATTTTTTTAAATATATATATATATATATATATATATAATATTATATCATATTATATTATATATTATAAACTTTGTGTTTGAGTGTTTTGTGCTAGAGTACTGAAGCGTTCGGTAGAACCATAATGTTTGTAGTTCTCAGTAAATGGAGTTCCTGTTTCTCCCCATACTCCCTTTCTTCCCACCTATAGTAAGCTCATCTTCCATTGTCTACCCCTCTGCAGTACCGCGATCTTGGAGGCGCCATCTGGTGGTCCGTGCCTCTAAACCGTACAAAAGTCCCACCTTCAGACAGCATCGGCTACGTCACCAGGCGCTTCTCAAAGCAGACGCCAAACATGAGGGCCTTGGACGCCTACAGAGGATCGCCCCCTCTAAGACCCCTCCAGCAACAGACTCACTAAAGGGAGTTGGCAACAGCTCGTTTGTCGTTAGTAAACTCATGGAAAAGTCACCTTCTCCTGTCAACGGGACACTTCCCCCTACGGACGAGAGAATATTCAAGTTTTCTGGATCTGATAAGTCTTCGAAAAGTGATTTGTCGAAAGGAAAAGGATTTATTTTTCTAAACAATCTTCTGAAAAAGAATGCCTCCTTACAGGTGCAAAAGAACGAAAGAGGTCCCTTCAAGGTTTCACAGAAAATTGTGTCTGCTGGGGATGCTGTCCCATTGAGAGTTGATATAAACAATACAAATGACAAGTCTGAAAAAACGACAAGAAGTCTCGAGTCTATTCTACACCAACCTTCACAAACGCCTAAGGCTTTCGACAGACCAACGGATGGCGCTTCTCCTTCAGTCACACAAAAGTCACCTGCGAGTACAGGTTCGCCCAAACTCAATACGGCCATTACGTATACACAGGCCAGCAACCCGCCTTATCTCGTAAACATGTCCCCAAAAGTGGAGAAGGAGAACGCTACGTCGCCGAGCGCAAAGAAGAGGCCGGCGTTTTTTGGCGACCAGCCTCAACCTAGCCTAGTGTCCAGTTTGGCTGTAGACAAGACTGAGTTGGAAAAGCCAGAAGCAGTTCAGACGAGAAAAGCATTCATTCAAAACGACCCAGCTCTGGTTTCAAATAAAAAACAGTTTCCTTTAATTTCATCGTCTGCACTGATTAACATCTCATTCTCAAGCCCCCACGAAGAGGAGACGGGTTTGAAGGTGCCCTTATTAAACCTTTTAATTAAACCTTATTTCCAACGCAATTAAACTGAATCCCAAATGGGAACAGCATAGGACACTACTAACATATAAAACCATCTATGATATTTTGGGGGCTGGTTCAGTAGTTGACACTAGAATGTGATTTAAATGTTAGCACCATGGATAAACATATTTTACAGCAGACGTACACGAACCACGCTGTGAACATGAGCCACTTGTAAATTCTAAAACCAATACATGTACTCATAACGCTTATAATACCGTGAAGGAAAGTTCTTGTAGGTGCAAAGTGCGTGGCTTCACAAATAAAAAGAATGATACTAAACTATTGATAAACGGTTTCGACTTCTTTTCTTCTTCTCTGCATTGCCCTGTTAAATCTCCGGGGTGGCCGATTGCTGATTCTTCAACCTTCCGGACATCTGGTTTTTATGTGTGTGGCCCTTTCTCCTACTTCATTGAGCCTCGTATACTCAGGCAGCGATATTCCAATTTGGCAGGTGTTACCACTGTAACTCTATACTCTTTATATTGTCTTTTTTGTGCAAAGTTTTGGCAGAAATCAATTTTGGATTTTGCTCTGGTCTTATCAATTATTAGTGAAGGGTGCTGACAAAATGAGCTGCTTCTCGGATTCGAGCCTTATTGAAATTGATACATCACGCTTATTATGGGTGACGTTTTGACAGTTAAGAAGTATGAAATAACAAAAAGCAGGTTATATTGAAGAATATGGCATCAATAGAAAATTTGACCCTAGTGTCGATTTTTGGCCAATATCTCCTTTTGTGGTGTGCGAGAAGTAACTCATTTTGTCAGCAGGTCTCACATTTGTGGTTCACCAAGGGACCTTATCGCCCTATCAAAGAAGGCTAAGTGTTCGACCTTACCTACCAGTACCAAAATCAGTGATGTGGCCAAAAGACAGCAGTAAGAAAGAGCCACGAGTAACAGTAGAGTATGTCAAGAATAGGTAGAGAGGAGCACAGATGAGGCAATGGTAGGATGAGTACGTGGAGATGAAAGCAATCGACAGAACAGGACTAAAGAACATGAAGAAAGGAGGATAACTGAGAGCTTTTTTAAAAATAGCAATATAACAACATATTATTGTTTTCGTCGCTGAAAGATAAATAGATATGTGTATATAAAATATGTATACATGTAGTGCTATTTCGTCTTGACATCGCGTTACTGCTTGATACTTTTAAAATGCAGCCTGAAATGAAGTGACCACCAGGAACATTACGGAACGAGCCAAAGTGAAGTGTCTTTGACAAGCGGGAGCTTGTCGCGATGTCCAATCTGATGTTATCAGTCCTATTTTTAAGCGTTGTTTTTGTTGTTGATGTTGTTTTATTCTTATTGTTGTTATAATTATTGTGAGGCCGCTGAGCTAAGGTGGCAACGGAGTCATTAATTTGTCAGTCACGCCCAGTTATCCGCGACCTCGAGAAGACAGCTTCTTTCAGGGTCACATAGCCTCCTTCATAGTTGCTGCTGCTGCTGGTGCTTCTGCTATTGCTGCTGCTGCTGCTGCTGCTGCTGCTGTTGTTGTTGTTGTTGTTGTTGTTGTTGTTGTTGTTGTTGTTGTTGTTGTTGTTGAGAAGTTTGCCTCATTGTAAGTACAGGTATTTAGACACTTCATTTCCAAAACGGATGTGTGCAGCTTGTGGGACTTCTCTCTTGGCTTCAACATTTCAAATTAATGAAGCTTTACAATTGTGATTTGCTTCCCTCTGTGATCGCTACTCTCCAGCTAGGCCTGACAGGAGCTAACTAGGCTCTCCCGTGATAAGGAATTAATGTAGGAGTCCTTCAGAGATCTTTTCAGGCTGTGCAATACTGTGCACACCTGCTGCCACCATACGCACCCATCGCCGAAGGAATTTGATGGGGATAGACGACAAAGGCAAAGGAAATTATGAATAAGAGCAGATGTTTGACTTGAGAAAATAATGTTTGTTTCAAGAGAGAAAGAATGGCGCAAACACCAGACTTACGAACTCACCTAGGTACAATGCATTTGTTGTCAAGATGCCATAATTCAGACTTAATTTTTTGGGAGTCCTTAACCCTATACTAGGACACTCCTATTTCTGTATGGGGGGAAAATCGCACCACAACAACTCAACCTGTTTTATTCCAAGCATTGAGATGAAGATGATACTATCTATCTATCTATCTATCTATCTATCTATCTATCTATCTATCTATCTATCTATTAAGTCTGCTTTCCACCCGTCCGTCTGTCTGTCTATCTGGCTATCCATCACTTAGATCTATTTTATCTTTGCACATGTTAATCTATATCACATCTCTCTATCTATTTTTCTTTGAATATCTGTCTGCCTATTTCTCTGTTGATCCATTTATCTCCTCCATCACCTTCTCTGATCCTTATCGTTTCTTTTTTCTCTTCTGTTCTTGCATTCAACTTGGTATATTTGCATTGCTTTCGATGGACGAAATACTCACTTATCTTGAAAACAAGTTGGAATATTTGCGATTGAAGGAGAATGGGGTCGCTTGGTTACATAGCCTGAGAGCCCGAGGTAACTGACAATTAATATTTTTGTGACTTTAATCAACCTTTTTCAGTAAAACTCACACAGAAATGAGTTTCTAGATGGACATAAAAGGTGTTAAGCAAAAAAAAAAAAAAAAAATCAATAAAAAATGCCAAACCGGCGGGAAAATGCCAATTTCTTCCATTTCATTATTTTGACGAGCGCTAGATCTCACCTCGCTGCTTCACATAATACAATTTAGCGAATGTACGTCTTTCGCGCTACTGCCGGTGGGACATGGCCTATTGCCTCGGCAGTCTGCGTGTAGTTCGCATACGTTATGATATAGGTACACACGACGAGCATGTGCACAACACTTGATGTGTTTCGTGAAGTCACTATCATTGTAGGCACTGGTTATCACCCGTACAACTAACAAAATCTGACGCGAATTTCCCTACTTAGTATGCCGGTTAATGAGGTCATGAGTTGCATCCAGGTCAACTAAAGACCGGCAAATTTCGTCCCCCTTTCCCCCCTCTGCCTCCAGCCCCCTAAAAACCAACACATTTTAATTAAATCAATTTTCTCTTTGTACGTGGCAACATACGAAACAGCGATACCAAAAAGCATGCCCTTTCTCCTGTTTTCCTTTCTACCCTCTGGCTTAATGCCACGCTTTTAGAACACCCCAACCAACGTCAAGTAAGGTTTCCTTTACTCACGAAAAGCTGATCAAATTAGACAATGAAACTAGCCTCCAAGCTGAAAAATGCGTAAACATATACCACATACACGTGGCGTGGTATATCTGGTTAAAAACAGAACAAAGCAATGAAACAAAACTTAACAACCCCCACCCCTCCCCGAAACCACAACAACAACAACGAAGACTAAAACAGAAATCATCGTTTAAGTTCCTTATAAAATGAAGAAAATAATAAAGACAAAAGCCTTACGTGTAACGCTATTGGTGTACATATTTTTTTGTGGGATCAAATATTGCCTTCCCCTGCCTTCAAAATATGAACATATTAATAATAAAACGCGTCCAAAAAAGATAGGGGGGCTCTCGTGGCCTAGAGGTTAATGTGTTGGCCTCTCATTCAAAGGTCCCGGGTTCGACCGAACAATTTTCTTCTCTAAAATTGTCTCCTTTCACCTCCTTTCCTGCTCTCTAGCAATGTTCTGTTGTCTGCTTTCATTTCCACTTTCTGCCCCCACCCCCTCACCTCCTTTGCCCCCTCCTCTGGGCTCCTGACTCTTTCTGCAGCCTTTCTACTGCTACTCCTTGGCTCCTCCTTACTGCTGTCTTTATGCCACACCCCTGTTCTTCTGGTAGGAAAGATCTACACCTAGCCTTCTCGGACAAGGGCGAAAAATCTCGGAGGGCCCGTGTGCAAGTTGCGCACGTTAAAGATCCCTTGGTGGTCAAAAAATCGATAAGAGTAGGCTTCGGCCGCCACCCGGGCAAAATTCAAAATTTCCTACCAACTGAAAACATTAGGAGTGTCCCGCGCGCTCATATGACCTATACAGTTGCAAGCGCCGTAAAACACTTTACAAAAACAAAAACAAAAAAGATAACAACAACAACAACTAACAATTAACGACGACAACAACAACAACAACAACAACAACAACAACAACAACAACAACAACAACAACAACAACAACAAAATCCGTATAACATTTAATCACGAACAGCTGAAGGACATCTCAGAGGTCAACTCAGAGATTCGATTGTTGTTTCTGATATCTAGCAAACGTCTGATGATTGGTATTTCCTTTCAGTTTCACAAGGCGTGGCTAACACGAAACGCCTGGAGTGTCAAAATGAGAAGACATGGCGCAGACTGTCTGGGGTAGGTGAATCTTATAAAATGCTCAGATATTCACCTTATTTTATAAATTTAAGGGCTCGACGCTATATCTAGTAAGTTTTGGAGAGGTGTTATAATTAAATGGTTAGAATACTCTAATAAAGACACAGACTACGTCCTCTCGTTAAACGGCTCTATTTTTAATAACGAATATATAACCTATAAAAATCCAACCCTCTTTTTACCATCATGTATATAAAGGGGCATTTAAGCCAAAAAGGATATAACCCAGAATGGACGATTACAGACTTTAGAAGAGTTTAAAGCAAAATATGGATGGATGCAATCCACTTTGTGTTTTAGACTACAAAATTATATCAAATGCGATGAGGAATGTGTATTTTAATGATGACAAGGATGACAACTTTTATTTCAGGGACACAATTGTAGGTACTACAGGGAGAAAACGTTTTCTTTCAGCATTAAGTAAAAGTGAGCCACCACTGTGCATAGGAATTTGGAAAAGAAAATAATTATGGTGATGATAGTAATGAAAAATATTCACCTTAGTCTACACACTGACTGTCGTCAGAATTCTGTGAAGACCTGTCACTTCTGATTTTGAGCCAATGGTTTTTCAACTTGAAGCAGGAGCTGGTGGGAGTTGGTTTGTTTTGTGTGTTTTTTAGGTAGGTGTTTTTACGTTACCATCAACGCAATTTGGATAATTTAGTATAGCCTACGGGCTTCCGACTCTACCTGTCAGGGCCTGCCAGGCTGAAAGGGATACAACCCACTAGAAAGATCGAGTTTTTTTAGTAGAGGTTTTACGGCGCTTGCAACTGAATAAAGTCATTTGAGCGCCAGAAGATTAAAGGTCTTACAAGAGAGTAACAAGCATAAAAAAGAAGAAGGGGAGATAAGGGCGATATATGTTTGATAGGAAAGAAGGAGCAAACCACATCAGAGCACCCGCCAACCACCCACGAAAGACCGA